ATGAAGTAACTTTAGCTATTAGCATAAAAAGAAGTAGAGGGGGTTAATCACCAAAGTTGTAAACCTTTAGAGGTTGTTTATTATTCTTTCACTTGCCTTTTCGATATCTAATGTTTTCACCTTCTTTAATATCACATGAGCGTTCGCATTCCTCAAAAACGCTTTGAGCATTCCATTATTTAACGTATTTATGTCTTTGAAAGAAGAATAATCGATAAATTGCAATTGCACTTTGTTCATTTCATTATTTTCATAATCACTTGAATTACTTGAAATTGAAATTGAATTAAGATTTCCTTGGTCAGATGAATAGTACGAACTTGTGCTTGTGAAGGAAATTGCAATCTCTGCTGTTTTATTTGATTCCATAACTTAATTTTATTTTATTTTTTTTTAAAAAAAAAAAATTAAATTTCGCTCGTGCCTTTGTTCCGTTTCGTCAAACAAAGAAATAAAAAAAATTAAAAAACTATTTAAAAATAATTTATATAAAATGAATGACTAAAAAAAAAAAAAAAAAATTAGATATTTTTTTTTTTCCTTTTTTTTTTTTATTTATTATTATTTTCCTACGGAAATCTCTTCAATACCAAAATGCGTAATCACTATATATATTTATATTTTTCCTCGATAATGGTTTTATTATACAAATAAAACTAAAATTGGCCAGTTGATATACAAAATCAGGTTCGCGTCACATCAAATAGGGAAATGAAAATCTGTTTGGGTATCAAAAAAATTCGTTTTCCCAATGTGCTACAATTGAAGTTGAATTAATAGTTCTAGAGGAGCTTTTGAATTTTTTTTTTTTTTTTTTTTTTTGAGTGAGTATTTTGTATTTCGTTGTAAGATTATCATTCATCGGTTTTATATTATTTGTTTCCGCCAAGGTGTGTGTGTCAATATAAATTTATTCTTTGGGTGAATTTCATCCTTTTTTTTAAAATGGTTTTTTTTTTTTAAAAAAAAAAAAACAGATGTATAAAGGGAGGTTAAAAAAAATAAAAATAAAAAAAATTCATTCTAAAACTTTTTCATTGAAGCTAGTTGGATGGATCAATGTAATTAATACATTTGACTATGTTTGGCAGTTTTCCATGCTTACATGAGGAAGAAACGTAGATTAAAAATCTCTTGGCCTTAAAAGCAATAATAATCCTGAACATGAACAGGAAATCATTTATTAAAAATTTATGCATTGTTTCTTCCTTTTCATCAAAAATAAAAATTTTTACCAAATCCGTAAAACAAAGTTGATCGATTTGACTATAAAAGGAAATAATATTTTTATAGTTCTGTGCTCTTCACCTCGAATATTAGGAATTGCAATATTATCGGTTACGCAATTACTGTTGAAATTCTAATGAAGATAACTTTGTGCGCACAAATAATATGTAAAAAAAGGATACGTTACGTTGCATTTTCATATTTAAGCTGTTAACAATGGTAAAACGGCATATTAAATTGAATTATTATTATTACATTCCCTGATTTGGAAGAAATACATTTTATTTTAAATTTAATTTGATTTCTTTTTTTTTGCCTGATTAATTATCTATGTAATAATCAAATTTAGTGACTTTATTATTTATTTTTTTATATTTATTTTCCTTAAAAGAAAATTTCATAATCAACTAAAAAAAAAAAATTTAGAGGAAATTGTGTGGTTCAACGGAAATGAACCACTCAGATCGAAAAAAAAAAAAAAATTATCAGATACACTGTATATATGCTATGAAACATTATTATACATTAAGGTATCTCTCTTTCTAGCTTCTTCCGATTGTTCCGAAGATTGTTCTGGACCAAAATTTCATACCCATCGAACCAAACCCGAATTATTTCAAACCTAAACTCTTTATAGACTATGGAAAAAAAAAAGAAATAGATTTTCATGAAAAAAGTGTCGAATTAAAAGTTCAAACAGTTGTAAGAGAAAAATCACCTTATTTTTTTTTTTCGATTAGAGTTACAATCTTTTTCTCTTTTTTTAGGTCACAAGATTGAAATAAATAATAAATATAAAGTGATCACGTTGTGAAATCATGATTTTAGGCATACTGCAACAAAACCAGATAAAGTGAACATTGTATTACCAAAAATTTTAGGGATCAATATTGTTTTTTAACATAATCATTTGTTAAATGATATATATATAACACTATCCTATATAAAAAAAAAATATGAAGTTAATTTACATTAGGTAAGAATTATAGTACTATCAGAAATATTTTGAAGAAAGAATAAGGTGAAAAAATTGCTCCTTACCCTGAATATTTATACAATTATTTATATTAAATTTAAGTACAACATATATCAAAAAATACTTAATTATATATAACACTAATTTTTCACTAAGTAAGTATTAACAAAATTTTACAAAACTAACTTTTAATATATTTACTATATTTTCTAAACTCTAATCTGATATTTGAAAGTACTTAGCTATATACTATATAAAGCTGATATTAAATAATCAAATTCTAAAATTAAAACTTAGAATACTAAAGTATGTATATAACTTTATTTTATTTAAAATATTAAAAAAATACAAATAAGAAACAAGTATATGTTATTCATTTATTAATATTACTTCTTTATCATTAGTCTATATTAAGTAAGCTTTTATTAATTTGAATATTATTATAGTAAAATCAGAATTATCTGTCTCTTTTACTTCTTCCTTTTACTCTTCTATTTTATTATTTAATTTTCTTCAGTAAGTTTATTACTAATATATTATAATTTATTTGAAAAGATTTTATATTTTCAAATATACCTTATTTACAAAATGACCACATTTATTTTTTAGATTATTATAACATATCTGATGATAAACATATTCACAAATTAAAACTTTACTACTAAAATTCAATTAGGTTTTATTATATTCAATTGATAGATTTTTTAATATCTACTTACAGTCAACTTTTTTTATAACAAATTTTGATATAACGAATTTTACAATACAATGGATTTTTAGTGTCAAACAGATTTTTAAATATAAAAAACCCTTACTATACCAAATTTAGTAATTAAAAATCCATAATACATTTAATGAATTAAAGTCAGAAAAATTTATATATAAAATGACTCTTTTTATAACGAATTTTTTCTATAACAAATTTTTTTTGATACAACAAAATTTTGCTTAAAATGAATTTTACTAGATTTATATATATAAATTTTGTAGTTCTCTGTACCTAGTTTTTAAATAAAATTAAAAAATGAATAAATATTCATGTTACACATTATGTTTTGTATTTTATATTTTTTTTTACATATTTTATTTTTTACGTGTATTTTTTTCTTTGCATAATGCCAATAATGCCAAAAGTAAACTCAAAGAAACAATTTAATCAACCTACCAACAAATAAGATGAATCTTTAAAAAAAACTAAAGTCTCTTATAGTTGCATAAAAAAAAGAACTTTGTTTAAAAAAAATATTATCACCTTTTTTAAAATAAAAAGACTTGGCTAATGAATATGACGTTAATGAAGGCATGGTAAGTGATATTTTAAAGAAGAAAAACCATTGGCTTTCTATGGATACTAATTCATACTAAGCCAATTTAAAATATGATAAGAAAACTCTATTTTCTCTCATTGAAAAAGCGTTAATAATATGAGTAGATAACACATTCAAAGCTAGCCTCATTATTACTAATAATATTCTTTCAACAAAAGCCTTGAGTTTTGCTTTTTTATTAAAGAAGGATAAATTTAAAGGGTCTAATGGTTAGGTGGACAACTTTAAAAAATGACACAACCTTAAACAGTACTATATACATAGGAAAGCCATAAGTGCGCTGCTCAAAAATCTTAAAA